TCTAGTCTCAGAGAAGTGGAAGAGGTACCTTGGAATAATGCACTTAAACACTGACAATCTCAGGAACTTGTAAAATTAAATGGACTTGGCAGTCTTTTCCAACCTACATCATTCTATGGTTCTATTCTAGCATGTTAAGACATTTAGTATTCTGCAATTCACTTTCCATGACCCTATTCAAGTTGAAAAAGTTAAAAGTTATATAAAACTTATTTCAATAAAAGGATTCTAAAACAGCCTATTAAACATTTTATTGCAAACAGCCATATTCTAAATACCCCTTAAATAAATTTTTTATTCCCAACTTCCTACTGTGTATATGCTCAAGATAGTCATCAGCTATGGCTGAACACAGAGTCTGGAGCTTGAATAGACTAAAATCCAAATATTGTGACTGAACTTTCTATTCTTCTTGGAATTCCTTGTGTTACTCAGACAAACTTAATTTCAGTTCCTCTTTGAGGCCTCCATGCTCTCCTCACCATGAGGGAAATATGCCAGCACTTTTCACTGTAGTCACAAATCAGACAAAGAAATGCTTCTTAAAAAGGTTTTGGGAAAAGCCTTTTTTGGAATCATGCTACAAAAGTAGGGAGCTGTCTTCATATCAGCTCCAAGGCATACAGAGACACCAAGAGTTCTCACAAATGATAACACAGTGGAGCTGTTGTTATAATATGTACTACTGGACTCTCCAGAATGTCATCACTCTGAAAACCTTATCACCTGACTTTTATAACAACAAAAGCTCCTACAGAGTTTTGCAAGTACCACAGAAATATTTTATATTTAATTTTGCATTACTTTCAATTGCTCCAGAGGAGCTGAGAACAGACTGACACTGATCCAAGCCAGTTCTTTCTCATATGAGAGTGGCCAATGTGAAACTTAAACACATTCTAACAAAAGCAAAGATGATATAACTGTGAACACAAAGCTAAAACTATTTGTTGGCAGATTAAACAAGAAACAACAGTGCTGCTGATATAGATAGCAGAACTGGTTTCTCATGTGCTAGCTTGGATCTAGCCAGTTTTCTTAGCTCAAGATGGAGCACAGAGTTGATGCAGTCTTATAATTTCCAAAGCCCACAGAAGTCTGGCATGATTTTCATATATTATTGTACTTTGAAGTAAGCACTGCTGGATCCAAAATGATGCTGTGCAGATCAAAGACTCAAGAGTCCTAAGCTCAGAGTTCACCTTTTCAAACTGATACAAAAATGACATCTAGCAAAAAAAAAAAAAATCAAAACCACAGAAGAGCAAAATAACTATTCCAAATTATGGTTGCAGTGTCCTAGAGCAATTTTGGTATCAGTTCAAGGGTTCTTAGTGTTGAGAACACTTTCTCATTTCACCACCCCTCAAACTTCCCTTCTCATGGAAAGAGAAGCTGTCTGCTTCACATCAAAGCATCTGGAAAGTTCCCTCTGATGAGAGATTTGAAGAACAGTAATACAGCACTAGGCTGTCATAACTGAAAACATGGAAACAGAAGTCTTGTAAAGGGGTCTGGAGCTCAGCACAGAGAAAGATGAAAACTTTAAAGTATTATAAAGGCAGAGATGTCAGGTTCTGGTGACACAGGTAAAGCTACAATACCAGTGTTTTTCTGCCACCTACTGATACCTTCCAACTCCCTTTTTACCTGAAAGTTTACTCATAGGATGTTCTATAGATGAATAGGTAACTCAGCTGCTTCTGACATCTGCTCATGAAACTATAATTTCTTTGGAATTTCTAGAATTTTTTAATCTACACCTCTTCAAATAAGCATGTGATGAATAACCCTATGTACAGCTGCCACTGACAGCACTCATGTGGACACATCTGTTTACAAGAAGGGTACAAAATAATTTTACAATATCTATAAAGATAACAACTGCATCATTAGGAAGGGATTTTTTTCAAGGTTGCCATGCTACAAAAGGTTTGAGAATTGAGATAGAAGATACCTCAAACTATCAGTCCATGTGTCAGTTGTTTGTATCAATCATCACAGGTTTTATTTCTATTTATGTTCTCTGTATGATGTGGGAACCCACACCATTTTTCCTGGCCTCATCTGCAGCTATCAAGAAAAGCATAAACATTGGCAGGAAACTATAAAAAATCTCTATAAAAATAGACCTCAAAAACTAGTAACTCCCAGAATATACCCATCCTTTGCATGAAAACAGTTAAAAACCCATTAATTTCATAGCTAATCTTGCCATAAAGACTGAGCACTATGAAAATATTTATTACAAAAAAAAAAAATCCCTAATTTTTTTAATTCAATGAATGGGAAAGCTTCAGAAAGAGTTGCAAGAAACATTTACAAGAAAACTTGCAATCCAGAGACAGAGTGAAGAAAGCCAATTTAACTTCACAAACACAGAGTGCCACCAAGAGCCTATCAGCTCTGCACAAGAAGAACATATCTAGTTTGGGATCCTGAACTAGCAGATATGGGCACACCACAAGAGAGTCCAGGAAGCTGATTCGTTATAAATTTAAACTGGAGTACAGGACAGAAATAAAGCATTGTGATATCTAAGTATTAGGACAACTCTTCTAGGGGTGTGATAGATATTTTCTCATGATATCCAATTTTTGAAACAGCTAATTGAAAGAGGAGCTATAAGAGTTTTTAATGAAGGAAAAGACAGAAGTTCATACCAGTTGGCTTTTTGAAAAAAAAAATTTCCAGCATTTCAACTGCAAAAGTATTTCACAGGATGTCAGGTTCCTTTGGAAATTTCTAAATGTAGCTGAAGAATTCACACTTTAGAGAACCCAGAAATTTTCCCAAACCATTAGAAAGGAATAATGCCCATACTGCTGTAATGCCATTGCCTTTGCTCACTCTTGCTCTGCCTCAGAGCTCCATCTCATGATAAATTGTGGCAGCTCCGTGTGAGGGTTCACAAAGTTTCATGGAATACACAATCCCATCAATCAAGAACGTGAAGGATTGTAGTCTACAAAAATCAGCATGCTAGATGCAGTATCTAATCAAAATGTTGGGTATTAACTACATTTTACATGTTTTACCCAGAGCTTCACTTTGTGAACATTCGAGAGAAAAATTGTGAATTTTCCTCAAAGTACCATAGCACTTCAATATGTATCTAATACCTGTAAGTAAAATTTTGCAAGCTATAATAAAATTCTTACTGGATTTTTAATTTGTACTGCTAACTAATATATCTAAAATGCTTCTAATTATGGTAAATCCAAGTGTGTTGAAAGTATAGATAGATCTAACCTGGCATTTAGGTTGAAAATGAACAAAATTCTCTGCTACATAAACATATAAAAGAACAGGAAAGATTGATTCAGAAAATAAATTTAAAAAAAATCAGAGATTAAATGTAACACAACTTATCAAATATAAGTTTAAAACAAAGACTGTATCTGAAACACCAAATTCCTGAAATACTGTATGCTGTATCTCCCTGTAAACAGAAGTTTTACTACTGCAACAGCTGGAAGCATTTACACTTTTTAATATCTTTTTCAGTAACAAAGTTAAATTCTTCTTGCAGCTGTTCAAAAGTATTTTGGAGTGGTTTGTTCCCTGGATCCTGCATACTGTGAAAGAATGTAAGGGCAAGGCTGGAGGGTTTTACAAATTGCCTCAATCTCAAAATAACTTTTTTCTTAACCAACCTTTACATATTTTACACAAACTTCTTCAAGACTTCTGATAGATCTTTCTGACTAGCACCAGTAGCATAAGCATATGCTAGTACATGGCTTATCTGAGCCAAAATTATTTTTATTTATCTGGTCTAATTGAAATGTCTTTTAGTTGTAAACAAGTTCATATTTTTTTTACTGTAGTGAATTTCTGAAGAGTAGAAAAAGATGTATACTTTAAAGTGTACATAAATATTTTTCTGCATTACAAACATTTTTAAAACGTCTTTTTCTAAGAAGTAGTATTGCAAATTCAAGATGTTTCTTACAACACAATTTCATTTGTTTTTTCTCTTTTCACTGGATGATCAGATTTACTGATAATAACCTGTTAGTCACGAGGTGCATCAGCCACAGGGAGCACAAGCGGGTGAGCTGCACAGGACACACATAAATCCAGCACAGCCCTCACACATCACAACTGGGGCCTGAGCTCTCCAGGGTTAATCTGAGCTCATGCAATAAACCCACAGTGTTCAGAACGTCCCAGAGTACTGAGTGCTCACAGGACATCTGGGTGTCCTGGAGAGGACAGGACCTTTATCCCAGGCACACAAGTGACCCCTCTGCAACTGCAGCAGAAGATACAGCTTCCTCTGTTTGGCTGTTCTGGTATGAGACCTAATCTCAGGCAACAGCTCTGCTCAGGGGTTTTAAATAACTGTGATAACTACTTCAGTTTGTTCCCATGCTTTGCTTTTATCTCTTAGACTTTCTAAAAACATAACAAGCCTTAACTTGGTCCCTGTTATTTGTAATCTTGAAGCCAAAGAACTTGCATGAAAAATATTAAGAGTATCTACAATTACCCTGTAATACTCCTACTACAGTATGGACAATATGCATTTCCTTCTAAAAAAACATGTGAAGATGGACTATCAAAACCTGCTAAACATTACCATAATCAATTCCATCATGTATGAATACCCTCATACATGAATACTTAGGATGTTTGGGATCAAACTCAACTGCTTGAGCCTATTTGATAAATTTGCCTGTGATTGAGCCATCAAATTCTAGTAGCTATTTCTGCATTGATATTTCTTGGCACATTAAAATAAAGCCATCTATCATTAATTGCAGAACATTTAAAGGAACAAATTGCAACAGAAATTTCTTATAACATAGGCAATTTTTAGAACACATTTTAAATTCTGACAGATTAATCAGGTTACCTGGTTTAACATTATAGCTATTTAAAAAAATCAACTAGGAAGCACTAAAAAACCCTAAACCAACTGACAAACAGTTCCCACAGATCTAAGCATGAAATTCTAACAGATGAGAACGCTGATAAAACTTAAAAATGTACAATTCATTACCACCTGCATCAAGCAGAATTTATCACCTGTGAAACAGGAGCTACAGGAAAGCACTTCCTTCATCAGGTGCCTGTGATAAAGCATGCATGAGTTTGCTTGGCATCAGAGCATGTAGTTTCTTCTTCATCTAGAAAGAAAGGTACATCTAAATCAAAATTTATTGACAGAACAGAAAAAGCCATTCAATATGATTGTGTGTGGATATATATATATATATTCAATATATTTGAAAAGTCACCCTCTCTGCCCCTCCAAAAAAAGTAAAACTTCCACTTGATTTTAATGGACCACAGAAACAATGTGGCTTTCAAACAAAATTTACACTTTGCCGCCTCGCAGCCATAGCAACTCACCTGCATTCTAACATCAGAATTGCTGATGAGCTTGTATTTCCCTAAAGGAGGATGCTGTCTTGCATTTAGAGTTAATGGAGGAGAAAAAATGAATTCTCTAAAACCTTCAGAAAACATGCTCCACAAACAAATACTTGACAAAACAGTTAGAGGTCAATATTGACAGCCTGTCAGATCAGAGTTCAAAGAGGATTCTTTTTGGTGAGGAAATATCATATTCCTTGGTGTCTCCTTTCAGGATAAGGACATGGTGTTCAGAACCCAGCCCAGACTTCATCTGGTTTTTTTGAGCTGTCACTTACTGTAGCTGTAACAGAACTTACTAAAGAAAGGGTACAGTCAGGGACTTGGGCACTATTAGTACAAAGCATGCTACTTTCACTTCAAATCATTTTACAAACTATATTTTAAAAAAAAAGTAAACTGGCCCACCTTGACTGGTGTAATTTTAAAACCACCTGAGCACCTCACAACCTTCCCTGTGGCTGTCCCAGTAACACTTCATCAGTTAATGAAGTGCCACAGTCATTTCTACAAAAGAGCAGAAAGATGTTCCTGTAAGAGCATTAGCTGCTTTTATTCAGGCATTAGTCATCTGACATCTAAATTATTTTCAAAGTGACTATGAAGAACAGTTATACTTTGTAGACATAGCCCCCATTTTTTAAATAACAATGACTTTTTAATGGCTACAAATGCAAATTTTCATAACTGAGTCATGAAGAGATCTGCACCATTATGTATGAGTGCCTCCTTCCAGCAGCAGATTTTTCTCAGCAATTATTTTAGATAATTTTCAGGTAAGTGGGAAGAAAAATAGTCAAATTTCAGATTATTAAAAATAATGAGCTGTGGATTCCCCATCCTGGAAGTGTTCAAGGCCAGGTTTGATGGGGCTCTGAATAACATGATCTAGTGGAAGGTGTTCCTGTCCATGCAGAGGCTTTGAAACCACATGATCTTTAAGGTCCCTTCAAACCCAAACCACTCTATGACTCTGTGATTATATGATTCAGACTTACTACTGATTTCACAAAAAGTGCTTCTGTGTGATAACAATTCATCCATCTGGTGACAGTTACATTAAGGTCTAATTTTTATCCAAATTTTCATATGTTTAATATATGATTACTGATACTATACATGATAATTCTTCCTGAACTATTATCTGATAGTAACACATTAGTAGTCTTAAAAGATATTTAATTAAATTTATCAGCTAGGTTTGTAATTTAAGTGATTTTTAAAGTAAGATTTATATCAGCTAAATAATCATATTTTGTCATTCAGTCACTGATACAATCTCTTATGTTTTCAGTCCTTGAGGATTGATGTCAACCCTCCTACAAGCAATAGTATTTCTCTGAACCTTATTACATCAGGAACATGTAAAGCAGAGATATTCACAGTGTGAGTAAATTAGATAACTGTATTTTAGGATTAAGATCAATTTGGTACCAAATGCTAAGTATCTGATGAATATCTGATATTGATCAGATAGCACTTTAACTAAGAAAAGCAATGCTGAAGATGTGCTTGCAATTTAAAAATATTTTTATAAAACATTTGTAGAATTTCCAGTTTATTTGTGTTCCAGCATGTGGTTTACAATCCACAGGAGCTAGAGAAGGAACAAGAGGAAGCTTGTTTCCTGACAACAGTCAGGAAACAGAAACAAATCACCACAAGATAAATGAAGAATGTGTGGACAGAGGGGAAGAAAGTCAATTGGAAATTGCAGAAGAGTGAATTTAGTACTGGTCCCAGCTTTCAGGTAGGATACCTAGCAGGCAGATGTGTCAACCTGACTGAGTAAAAAAAGCACAGTTGCTTTAGCAGGCACTGTCATCCTGGACTTGCTCCAAGAGCAGGGGGATTGTGAAGAGAGGTTGTTTGTGAACATGAACTTAGAGACACTTAAATGGGTCACAGGCAGCTCCAGCAGGACCAGGACATCAGGTTGTCTTAGTAAGTTCCACAAACTTCCTCCAACTACTAACACAATACAAGTGAGCAGCCATTTTTATACTTATTTTCTTCTCATGATACATTTAATAATATACCTGAATACATAAAGAAGTTTCCTTACTGATCTCAGTAAAATTAATACTTACATGTCCTAAGGAAGACTTGTTCTACCAGATGCTCCATTCAGAGTGGTTTCATTAAGTGTAGATCAAGGTACAGAGCTGTCACTCTAAATGCACATCATGTATGCTAGACCAGATTTTCCAGTTAATAGCAGTGCCATTTGCCTTATGACACATGTAAACAGCAGAGAAACTGCAAAAAAAAGTAATAGGTCAGATTACGGGTCTGTTTAGGCACTATTCAATCCCCAATAAAGACAATACAATGCATCTGCAGAACAAGTAAATGATATTTTAACTACTCTTTCAACGTTAGGAAGTCTGTATTTTGCATACTGCTGTACCAACATTGCTCAGGTAGGTGCAAAGTTGAGGCTGAGGTGATGGGAATGACCAAGACAGCAGCACAGGTTCCTCATTTAGGGCAAGGAAAGTATTTACAGAGGTTTGGGAGCATCCCTCCCCAGCACTAAGACCTCACACATCATCTGCAGTCACTGCTGCTGCTGCTGAGAGAACGGGAAAACTGAACTCAGAAACCTCTACCTTAAACCATGGGAAATGCCACCAAGTTCAATGGGACTATTCCATATAACCACGTAAAAATAAAATTAATACATTCCTAACTGACTCGTTAAGTTTTGCTGCACAATAGCAGGAAATATGTAAATAAGTATTTTTATTGTACTACCTTCCTGCAGGTTCTGTTTTACAAGCCATTCTGTTTGTCGTCTACCAACATGCTCAGTTCAAGCTTCCAGGGGAGCATAACCCCATATATTTTTCCCTCCACACTAATCGCTTGACCAGCGGCTGTCCTGTTTTCCCGGGCGAGGTTTTAGTGCGGCTGTGAAGGGGCTGCAAGGCCGGGCCGCTCCGCCCTGCGGGGCCCCAGGCGCGGCGCCCGCTCCCTCACGAGGCCCCGTTCCCGGGGCCGCGCCCAGCGCCGAGCCCGCGGCACCGGCGCCCCCTGGCGGCGGCGGGACGGGCAGTGCCCGGAGCGCCCCGGGTCAGGCTCGCCCCCACACAAAGGAAATTAAATTAATGACTTTATTTCATGTACATTGCTTCTGGGTATTACTGCGTTCTTTCAAAAATCAGTGTAAAGCGATTTCGGTGAAATGCTGTAAAGAATCTACCGCATTCAAAGCAATATTTAACATTTATTGGATGAGAAGTATTAGGTAGTGTCACACTGTACTGCTGAACAGAAAACACAGATGTTGTTCAGAGGGCTGTTTTAACTTTTTTCTGAAAGTCAAGGTCATCTTTCCAAGATCTTTGGTTTACAGGCACGGCTCAGCCATGATTACTTCATCTTCCTTCAATCTATCAATATAACCAAACTGCCTACGAGCACCCCTCAAAAATGCACAAATATTTATTTGTAAAAAGTCGAAGCCAAATCACTTGATGCAAGTTTTCCCTTTTCAGAAAGGACTCCGCTCTCAGCTATGGTTATGCAAATCCACACATTCAAAACCAAGAGCTATTCCTGATCTATAGCAGCATTGTTATTAACAAAATGTTCTCTCTTGTTCTTTTCAATTTCTACTGACATCCCAAAGACTCAGATTAAAATGAACTTCAATGAATAAAATATAAGTGCTGATGTTTAGTAATTATGCAAGAAATTTGAAAAAAAGGTCAAAGGTTAAATAATACTGAAAGAAATGAAGAGGTATGATCTATCAGTTTATACTGAGCACCAAGAGGACTCATCCAATATGGAACGCATCACGAGCAGCATATGGAAAGGGGATTTGTAAATTCCATAAACGAGGCACCTCAAAACTGCTGCCCCAAAGAACTTACTGAAGACTGAAGGAAGTCTTTGAGGAAAAAAATACCACAGAGCAAAGAAAAACACAGTCAAAATAAAGATATGCCTAGAATATTTAATGTACTTGCTCCATGAGCCGTGGTAAAGGGTACCGTATCAAGCAGAAATAAAAACACATTAACAAACAAATTCTGACGACCAACATTGCAACAGTAATTCAACAGTAATACAACATTACATCACAGTAAATCATGGTTTAACTTTTCAGAACGTGCTTCTGATACTGCCAACCATCCCGGCTGCCTCCCACTGACACCACCTCAGAGCGGCGTGCAGGAGCACACGGCAATAACAAATGTCAAGAACTTTTAAAATTGGCTTAAGCAACAAAGATGATTAGCTGCTTTTTAAAGCGACATCACTTGCACATCCTTGACTACCAGAGCTGGTGTATTTCCACACATCCAGCCGGAGAACAACCCCGCACCAGCATTCCCGAGGATGCGGCGCTCCCGGGGCCCGGCCCGGCCCGGCCCCGCCCCGCCCCGCGCACGCGCGGAGCCGCCCTGCCCCTCGTCCCATTGGCCGCGCTCCCCGCGCTCCGCGCCCCTCCCCGCCCCGCCGCCGGCGCGCAGGCGCAGTCGTGGCCCTTTCGGGAAGGTTCTGTGTCGCGCCAGCCTTTCCTTCCTCCGCCAGGGAAATCCTGTCCGGGTACGGGCCGCCCGCAGCCCCGCTCCTCTCCGCCCCGCCCCGCCGCCGCACGGGCTCTTCCTTGTCACCGTCTGCAGCCCGCGCCCTTCCCCTCACAGCCCGCCCGCCTCCCTCCACAGCCGCCTGCCCGCCCCCCGCAGCCGGGCCGCGACTTCCCCCCGCCCCGGTGTCTTGTTTGTCCCTGCCCCGAGCTCAGCCGCTGTCGAGCCCTAGGCTGGCCCCGCAGCCGGTCCTGCCCCGGGGACATGCGGCTGTGAGGGGCAGCCTCATCAGCGTCATCCGTGTAGCGGGGCCATGGGGGCCGCTCCCCTCGCCCCCCCCCAGCCCGGGCCCCCGAGGTCGGCGGGCGCACGGCGTCCAGCGGGGTCGGACCGCTGTAGGTTAGGGGGGAGCAGGTGATGGTGCTTCCATTGCTGAGGTGCCGGCCTCGCCTCTTGCAGCTACCTGGAGGTTCTTCTCCTTGAGACGGGTTCTAACTGGGAGCGCAAGGGCGGAATAGACGGCTCCGAGCCGCAGAGTGGGACAGAAGGGACTGCCAGGAAGACCTTCGTGCCTGCAGCGCTGCTGCCAGAGTTACAGAGAAACCTGCCGCCTCTCCTCTCTCTTTCTTGTGATCACCTGGAGAGGAGAGGTGAGTTGTCTTTCACTCTTCTCGCGCAGTAGCAGTGGAGAAGTAGGCTAGCTTGCAAGGTGCAGAACTTGTTCAGGACAGCTTCAAGCCCCAGGTGGCTGCTTGGTTTGTTTTACTTGAGACTCAGCCCTATGCAAAGGCCCACTGATGGAGAAAGAGATTAGCACCGTGTTAACCGCGCGGTTCTCTCTCCTTTGCTGCAGTGCCCACTTTCACCGCTGCCTCCTGCTCTGCCTGCTCCTGCTTTCAGCATGGTAAAGAAGAACACTATCCCTGATGGGTAAGTATCCCTCACACTAAGCAAGAGGCAGGAGCGGGCATCCCACAGAGAGGGGCACTGACTGCCCCAGGCGCTTTCTTGCCTCAAGCATCTTCACCACCTACAGACAGGTTAAGGTAGGTATCTTCTCCAAGACAGGAACAGCCCAGCCATTCATTCCCCAGGTGAGTATCATGCTCCAGCCTGTCTCTAAACACTTCTCCTTCATCGGCCACACACAGTTCCTTCTTCCTAATCTTTTTACCCCCAAGTGTATGTTTACTTGGAAATGGGAGAGTAGTCCATACTCCTGGTTACTCGTGTTTGCTACTAGGAATGGCCTAAGAGTTGATAAGATGGGAGCAGGTGGTTGCATGCACAAGATCAAGGAATATTTTTGTGAATTCAGATCCAGAAACATCTCGTGGTTTTGTTTCTAACAAGAGTACGACAGAAATGTTGTATCAGCAAAAATAATCCCAGATTATTCCAAATGCACTATACAGGCCTCGTGATGACTTGATTGGAGTGCATATGTGGACCACAGAATGATGTCAATTAGAACAGATACCGTTCTATTCTTTAGCTCTAATAAAGCACAAGAAAAGAAGTCCAAATTAAGAGTTTTAACCCATGTGTTCCTGACAGCATCAGTACAAACTTTTGGATAGGAGGGTATGCTGAGATAACAGCACACTGTAGTGGGGCAATAACTTGCAGTTTATACATTATTTGAGGAAAGAATTACATTATGCTGGTTTCAGGGGGAGTATTAAGTAGGTTTATTAAGAGCATTCTTAGGAAGAGCAATAGGATACAAAAAACATGCGCTCCTGTAATATTTGTTGGGCCAAAAACCAGTGAATAGAAACAAAGGATGAACAGAATTTAAAAAAAAAAAGAAGCAGAAGAGTTTGCATGGCTGACAAGCTCAAGGATTAAAATTAGAATAAAAAAAGCTGTTTAAACATGTCTTTCTCTGAAAATTTCTATGAAATTTCAGTTACATGTTAGATGTGAGCTAAAGTGGATTAGTTTTTAAGCAGCCATTCAGAAATTGGAAAACAATTAGTTGTCCTTACTTTCTTCATCCTTGGAAATAGTTACTAAAACTTTGAGAATCGAGTGCTCATTTCTCCTTTCTTCCCCCCCCCCCCCTTGCATTTGAACTAGAGAAGCTATGAGGTTACATGGATTTCTTAAGTATGCAAGAATCTGTGGACTGTACTTTTGACTTCTACAACTGGAAACTAATACCTTTCAGGGAGAGAAACAGCTACTGTCAAATATTTGGTTATAAAGTTAGTATCACCTTTTGACAAAGTGCCTGATACTGAAGTGCTTTCAACTTCTCCAGATAGATAGTTTTATACTGCTAAGAAATAAAGCTAGACATCCACAGTAATAGAGGGTTGGCAGTAATGAAGTTGAAGGCCTTGTCAGCCCTTCAGTCTCATGAAGCAGGATGTGGATGTCACCCTTGTGCTAGCACAGCATGTTGTTCTTCACTGTCAGTTCAGTAAGCCAGGAAGACATAGAAGTGAACCCTGGAAGGGACTTAACCTAGTTTGAGTCTAGGTCATCCTGCATATGCAATTTACTGGCCCCACAAATAGGTGTTGGCAGAAGTGGGATTGTGGTACCCTGGAGCTTAAGGACAAGTGCAGACAGTGCAGACTGTGGAAGCACAACCTCAGTCTCCATGTTGTAATAGCAGTACTCTAACTCCTTTGGTTTAATGGTACTGCAAGGGATAAGGACAGTGACACTAAATACTGGCATCTTTTGTCTTCCTGTTAGTGCCTCAATTTTTAACACTTTTAATCCAGACTTCATTATGCTAATTCAAGTGATACAATAAATTGGGGTTTTCAGTTAAGGTAGTAAGTAGAAATAGTGCAACTAAACAAGAAATGGTGAACCTTTTTTTAGGACAAGGGGTAATGACTTTAAAGATGAAGAGGCTTACATCAGATGTAAGGAAGGAATTTTTCACTATAAAGATGGTGATGCACAGGAATGGGTTGCCCAGAGAAGTTCTGGATGCTCTTCCCTGTGAGTGTTTTCAAGGCTGGTTGGATGGGTCTTTGAGCAACCTGGTCTAGTGGAAGGTGTCCCTTCCTGTGACAGGAGAGTTGGGACTAGATGATGTTTAAGGCTTCTTCCAACCCAAGCCATTCTATGATACAGGAAGTTATATTTCTTTTTTACTAGTAATGTCTTGGAGCAGAGCTGTGGTGTAGTGTCCACTGCAGTCTTGAACCTACAAAATAGTGCTGGTACTAATTTTTTAGCAAAATGAGACATCAGTGTAAAAGAGGGGTTCAAGTGACTCCTTGCACTGCAGTTTCCACATGGACTTAAGTTCTGGTTGTTCACAGTGTCTGAAATGGTTTTAACTTTCAGTAGTTGTATACTATAATGTTTTAGTGAAGAATCAGACAGTCCAAGCTGCCTAACAAGTCATAAAATACTATGATGTTTTTACAAATTTATACTCATTTGTGCTTCAGCATCCAAAATCCTGCTGTGTGTATGATTACATAAACTCCAATTTTGAAGAGCATCTGCAGAAATGTCACCTTCTGGCAAGTTTCCCTTGAATAGTATAAAAAATACTGTGTGGGGTCTTTTTGTCAGAAGGGCAAAGCTGAATTATTTTTGCCAATCCACTATAAACATGCTTCTTTAACTGAATTTTTTCTGTCCAGACTTAAAGCATCAGCATTTTCATTTAGACAGGAATATTCAATACTGTGGCATAATGGATTGTGCCTGTTCAACAGTGAGTGGGAGAGAAGGATGATATTTTACTTGTAAAAGTATTTCCTATTATCAGTTTTGAATCTGGTGTTTATAGAGGTATGGAAGTCAATTGGAAAATCAGGCTTCATGTATATCGTGCAGTATCAGTGGCCAAAAAAAAGGAAAAGAGGTTCTAAGTAGTATTTTCTAAATGGTCTTGCTAGAGGTGACAGTAGTTGTAAAAGTAAATCTTACAATGAATCAGTTCTAAACCAGAACATTTTACTGGAAATTAAAGCTTCCATATGACCTTAACAATGTTCATATTAAAATCAATTATGAGAAAAACATTTGTTCCACATCTGGCTATATTAAAACTTTAAAACCACAGCAGATAAAATATGCAGCTGGATGTAATCCATAATCAGTTTCTTCATGTCCAGCCTGGTTTTCACTCAAGGCTCTGTCGCTCTTAGTGGTACAGGGATGATGATGGTGCCAACTCTTGTGATAACACCTCTGACTCCTGCCTTTCTTGCTTCCACTCACGTTCAAGGAGGACACAAATCGCATGTCACAAGTCTCATTCACACTTCCTAAAATGCTTAGTTAAGGCTTTGCTCCTGGTTTATGTGACCACCTGCAGATGATCATCTTGGATCATTCTGCCTTTATCTGTACTTACTCTGTAAGAGTTTGACGTTCTTTAGTCCAGGCCACTTTTAATTCCCGACCACGTTCCTTTGTTAAGAACAGAACAAATGTGAACTTATTTTCCTAGCTAATCTTTGGTTAATTTCAATCTGCTGGTTTTATTTTTAGTTCTGCAGCAGTGTGCTGAAATTTCCTGTTTAAATACCATTTTAAAGATAACATGGAACACATACCCTTTATGTTTTTGATGAAAAGTGCCTTCTGCTCATTTTCTACCATAGAGCTGTCAGCAGCTTTTGAGTTTCTTGCTGATTGTGCAGATTTTTTTTTCTGGGAGGATTGAAATGGCTTTAAATACAAGAGAATAAAACCCCAAGTTTATTAAGGTCTGACTACAAATTGGCTAATCCTGGGGTATTGTTCTGTAAATCCCCTAATATGAAAAAATGTTCAGAATTTTTACAAAGCCTTTTTTACATTGTTAATTAAAGAAAATAAGATTTTAAAGCCCTTTTTGATACTTTCTTTTTGACTTTTAAATTCTCCTATCTATAATAATTATGGTTTATTTTCACTCATAGATGTCCAAGAGAAAGCAGGTTAAAACAGCACTGAATTTCTGATCTTAATTGATTAATGTACAATTTACATCTCTTAAATAGGAGTAAATGGAACAGTCTCAGATTTGTTTTCATACTTCACAGCAAGCATAAAGCTACCAGACTCCAGAGTTTACAAACTTGGAAATTCACTTAAGAAGACTTACCCTGCAAAAAAATTTAGAATTTAGTAAAAGGTTTTGTTTGAAACAGCTCTCAGTGATCTCATCTCCAGCTTGCCCTTACACTTTCTTTCCTTGTGTGTCTTCTACAGACCAGCTGTTTGCAGCAGCTTTCCTGATGATGAGTTGTTATTACTTCTGTGTTGCTTCATTTGTTGTCCATTAAATTGAGCACCTGTATGTCTGCACTGTGAGCCTTGATCTGTTTTTTGCCTCATGATGAAGATTACAGAGAGAAGTTAGTGCTAAAGACATGGCTGTAGAGATTGTTATGTGGTTTGCTAATATCAAATACACTTCAGTCACCCTGCTTTGTGTTTCCTTTGTTACTTCCAAGCATCTCTGAATGATGATGTTGTTATTTATATAACATGACAAACATCATTATAGATATTTCATTGAGAATTTTTCCAGCGAACTTCTAGTTTTTTATGTTCCAAAGTTGTGAACACAGCAAAATAGTCAGTGGTTAGAATATTTTAAAATTAAATACTTTGTTTATTTCATCAAATGTTGTAGTTTTATGAACATCAGAAAGGAATCTAGAAGCTGTTGGATGCTCCCTTCAAAGACAGAGATTAATTTAAGCATTAATTCAGAAAATTGCAAGGGAATGAACAACAGTGTTAAAGAATCTCGTGGAAATGTTTTGTATTTTAATAGTTGAGGTATTAGCCAAAAATGCAGAAAGCCTGTGTAGATTTTAAGTCATCCAGCTGCACCTTGTTAGGTTATAGAGACAATTTGCACTTGCAGAAGAAGAAATAGTTCTAAGTTTAGAAAGTTACCTCTTTGAAGGTAAAATTGATCTGCTGATTAACTTGTTTTCCTCTTCAGATAATGCTTTTCATCCTTTTTTAAAAATTGAAATCTCTGAAATACTGTATATGGAGAGCTTTTTCAGCACAATGTAGAACTTGTGCATACCAGCTCTTTGTGGTTTTGGAATTACAGGTGTTTTGAGTGTTGTAACAAATCTTCTTATTGGTGATTTGTGATAGGTTTTGTTGTGATGGAATATTCTCTGTATTTTTCAAAATGGTGAGAGAGAGTGTTTCTTTGAAAAAGAAGCATATTACAAAGGAAACATTTTTGGAAAATAGAGATTATCTCTGTTGTTAATGAAAGTAAACTTTGCATTTCATTGTCAATTAAATGATTGATGTGTGCCTATGGTAACTTTTTTAAGGTGTTTGATTCAGTCAGGTTGAAAAACGTCCACCAACTACAACAATACATTTTTACCTGTTGAACCTTACACATCTGCTTTGCTATGTATTGCTGCTACTTGTTTGTAAATGTTATCCTGCCATTTTGAGGAGAGCAATTTCCTGGAAGTTGAAGAAGAAGGAAGGAAAAAGACTCTTTTTAAGTGTCCTGATGATACTTTGAAACTGCTTCATGGAATAATTGCAGATTTGGGGATCTAATTATACTTTATGATAACAGCAATTTTTATGTGCTCTGTGCTGCAAGTGTCTTCTGTTGAATCATGCAACTTGAAAATCTTTAAAATGTAATATTTCTTTCCTTACAGATGGCGGAGCTTGACACCAGTTGGACAGCCTATTCCAGGAACGAGATTTATTGCATTCAAAGTACCTTTAAAAGGGGTATGTATAAAAGTAACTGCAAATTGGCTGTATTAGATAAACTGCAAAAGCAATAAAAAATAGCATGACTATACATGCAAATTTCAAGAAAGTTTTTAAAAAAATAATTTATTCAGATTTAAGCCTTTCAACCATCTGGCTTTTAAAAATAATATTCTATATTTTCTTATTTTTCTTTATTTCTGATGTTACTCTTTTTATTTATCTTTTAAAAATAAGCTTCTAAATCAATCAGCATACTTCATTTGATCACAATTAAGTGCCTAAATTCATAATCTTATTAGATATCTTTTCATGGCTGTTTTAAGAAAATCATATGGAAGATTTTATGATATGAATAACAGTCTACGCAATGTAAGCCAAAGTATAATTTTATAGAAATTAAGCACTCATTGAAGGATACCAGCCACTGCAGAACTTGTAAAACTATAGCTCCTAATTGGCAATTTCATAAGCAAAAAGCTTCAGATCTGGTGGGAATGTACTATAGCTAAAAAAGAAGTCTTCATAGATCTCTCCTATTTTACTAATTAATTAGTTTATGAAGTACTTTTATTAGTATTTCCTTTAGAGTCTTGCTAGCTTGAAGTGCCATCCTAAGCTATTAAATATGCTGAGTTAAATCTTTAAATTCTTTGTTTCTACAATATGTGGAGGTTGTCTTGTAGAGACTGTTCAGTTTTTTAGTGCCTAGGCCTTTTTGGAGGCATAGGGCAAATTAGTGTTAATTTATACAGAAGGGCAAATAGGACAAGTGCAGCATAAATTGACTTCTACAAGTCCTTGCTTTAGATACAGAGAAAATAAATGTTTTCAAGCACTTTTAAAGAAAGTACAGTGGTCTGACATAACTCTAGCAGTTAAAGGGAAATGTTCTGTCTAAACTTTTGTCTTCAGATTGCTCTCTAGTATCCATACACAAAAATTTTGGTTCTTTGGATATATTACTACCCATTATGTTTTCAGTCACCATTCAGTTCAGTTTTATTAGGAATGACTGAAGTGAAATGCAGGATTTGCTTCCTGCAGCTGCCTTTACAGCTTTAGGATGATGCTTTGGGTCCTTGGACACCAAGGATCTCATACTTAACATGTCATGTTCTCCAAGATGTGGATGGATTGTACAGCAGTTGTGTGATATTCTACCAAGACTGCCAGTCAACAAATCAAGCTGTGAATATAAAATCCAGTAGAGTTATAATTGGCTTCTTTACTCTTGTCACAAGGACCACTCCACATCAGCCTGTTACACATTTCCTGTCCTACCGATCTCACTGGGGTATAGATCTGTGTTCTGAGAAGCTGTCTTGGCCAGACATAAAGTCTGGTACCCAAGGATGCAAAATCTGTAACATTTCTGTCCCTTCAGCTTGTTCAGCTTCAACTATGCAAGACAGAGAAATGACAAGTCTGCCAGAGACTGTGTGCTTGAAGGCCACAGAGTTTGTGGCAGAACACACATAAAATGTGTGACTGGCTTTGCAGAGGTGGTCAGTAAATCTGCCTGAAGATGCTGAAGACCTGATCGGTTGTAGTTTGTTGGAAGTCCTATTATTTATTAAATTGGTGGAACAGACCTCTTAAATATGCAGCAGTTTGCTTCTTTGCTGTGTATTAGGAACTTGATTGGTGATTCCTTCCAAAGAGAGACAACATATTTTCAGTATTTGAAGATACAGGGTCGTCATCTTAGAAGATGTGCTGTTAGTAAAGATCATGTGTTTACTTGGAAGGATTTTCTGTCTTCCCTTTCACATCACCATTATAATGCTAACAGTAACATTGTAGTGTAGTAAGAATTGGGCAAGTTCTTTCCCATGCCATTGGAAGGATTTTTAGAATTGGTTCCAATTTCTCACATTCTCAAAGCCCTATTAAACACCTAAACTGCTGAATAGTCAGCAAGAGTTTTTCAGAAAATTCCAGAGCCTTTCGAAACATGGTGTTTCATAACACATATAACTGTCTACTCAATCAATATGTTTGGAGATCCCTTATTTTTGTAAATTACATTCCTCCTCAGTTTCTGTCATGTCACATAGTAAAAATTCTTTAATATTCTACCATAGACCTTTTGCAGATTCACCTTTGTCACCTCAAAGTTGTTAAGTTCGGTTTCAGATTAGACTTGAGAGTCACTGCTGAGTAGCAGTGACATAACTGACTCATGTTCATTTTGTTTAAATTTCTACAACATCCACTTTTTTCAGCAATGCACTGGTGTCTGAAATACATAGGACTGAATACTTTATTACTTCCTTTCTATCCTCCTCCTCCTTTCAGCTCAAGCTTTCTAATCACATACTAGCTTTGATATGACTGCCCTGCTGTTTATTCTCTACTTCAGTTTCCTGTCTCTATTTCCAGACTCAAGACTTCTTGCTAGCATTTTACATTAGAATCTGTACAGTCAAAACAAGGAATGGTTAGTTACCCTATAGCATCTGTGGTTCTAAGAAGTATGTGGTCTGTGGCTGCCTTCCTTTCCAATAGTTCTGAGTCCAGTCTGCTTGAATTTCTTGTTGACAAAGGAACTGACAGGTGGTTGAGGCTGCTGCATCTTTTGCCACTGTCTTTATTGGTTCTGGCTGAGCCTGTGTCAAAAGGCTCTCACAATGGACAAGTGCACTGTTCAGAGAAAATCCAGTCTTGAGTATATGAGCCATTTTCATACCTAAAGTGAAGAACACATTTCAAAAACCACAGCTACAATAGGGTGAGTAAACATTTTTCTCACTGTTTGTCAAATGAAATGAATTATTCATTATCCACCAACACACAGCTTTCTTAGTCACGATATTTGGTCTTACTTAATATTCCCCAGTGCTAAATGATATGCAAGTACTCTCTGTCAAGAGATGAAGGAGGGATAAAAATGTCTGCACAACATTTGTGGGAAGAAAGTTAAACCTTTAGAAATGAACTCTTGTATCACAATTTCTTATGTTTTATATGTAATACACTTCTAGTTTTGAGTTACTGTGCAGGACGAAATTTGGGGGAAGTAGATTGTAGTGTTTTGCTTTTTGGTGTGTTTAGTTATATAAAAATCAATATATACATGCTGCAGCTTTCAGAATTTTTGTCTGTCAAGTTATAGCTAATTTTAATAATGTTTGTTAACACTGTACAAGCAGAAATGCTCACATTGCCTTGCATTTTTATCTAAATAGGAATACATAAATTTTTGCTTTCTTTTTGGTTCCTCTTACCTGTATAATACATGGATGTGGTTCTGATAATTAAACACTCTCTTTTAAATATTGATGTTTCCCAGTACTAATAAAAACAGCTGAATATTACAAATGTCTTACTATTAGAATGTAAAAAGAATATATTTCTTTTCCATTTTCTTTTTAGGCAATTAACCAGAGGCTTACCCCAACCCAGAAATTTACACCAAAAGACTTAATTGCTGCAATGAAAGCCCTAAATGTGGAGCTTGGATTAATTATTGATTTAACATACACCACACGATACTATGAAGTTAAGGTAACAAAAGCCTAACAAAAATGTAAAAGAGTTACTGCAACTTTTGTTTTAAAGTGTTTATACATTTTCTTACCTTGAATTGGAATAGACAAGCTATCTAGACTACTTTTATGTCTCCAATAGAAAATAAATGTTTTATCACAGAGGAAATAGCTCATTCTCCCAGCTAGTTGCATTTATGGCTGATTAGTATTATGGTAACTCAGTAATGGATGAAGATTTCAGTGCCAGGCACTGCACAAAAAGTGCAGAAGGGTTATATCCTGTGTCCTGAAGATAGTCTCATTTATTACTAGGTGGTTCTTTTTACTGATCCTCAGTGAAATCCACTTAAGAAAGTGTACATTTTTAAACTACTTTATCAATTTAAAAGTTTTTGCCTGGATAGTTCAAGCAATCGTGATTTATCAGCCTCCTGTTGAAAAGGAGAATAAATGACATTGTTATATCAGAATGCAAATCTTTGTATGCACATGGGCTCTAGGCATTAAGGGAGTGAATTTGTGAGTATGTACATGGTTGTGGGTAGGAGGGACAAATACTGCTAATAATTGTAAAATGGGTTAGAATGGAATGCCAAGAAACTACTCCCTTAGTTAATGTGCAGCCTTATTAGCAGGGATAAATAAATCTTATGTAGAAACTGTTCCTTGTCCGACATGGTCTTTAATGTAGAAATGTTAGTGGTAGTTTCTGAGAGTTTATAAAATTGTGTCAAGATTGTTTTCAGTTCCTATTCAGGATTTGAACAACTGGTTTACATTGTCATTATGTTAGATACTGCTTAAGGTTTCTCATTGTTGCAAGACTTCAGTATTTTTTACCATTCCTTTTTTCTTTTTCTTTGTTAGGATTTACCCAAAAGTGTGCAGTATAAGAAACTTTATACTGTTGGACTGGAAGTCCCTGATAATGCTACTATCTTACAGTTCAAAAAGTGGGTCAGAAAATTCCTTTGGGAAAATGCAGGAAATGGTAAATATCAGCATCCTGTGCTGTAAAAAAACTCACCAAAATTTTATTTCAGTACTAACCATGTTATTTACTAGTTTCAATATTCAATAAAATGTATGACACCAGGGATCTCGGGCTTGGGCTTTTTGCAGCACTTTCCACTTCATTATCATGGTAATATCCATTATGCAAACCACTATGTATCTTTTTTTTCAATCAAAACATGTTTTTTTCAAAAATGACTGGAACTTAAATGCACTTCCTAATAGTGTTACATTTGTGTTATGAGTCAAAGTAACTGCAGCAAGGCCTTCCTCTGTGTGACCCAATTGTTTACCATCAGCTGAGTGTTGGAGCTGCCAGCCCTTGGTGGATGTTTGAAATAGCACCGGGTCTCTGATGGCACTGGGCACTGATCTGTGTGAGCAGCTTCAGTGCATTTAGTCTGATGTAGGGTTCTTTGTCTTAGGAGTCCCTTATTGCCCTCAGATCTGAACAGTTCTTGAAAATCTCATTACAGACCCGGTGTCGGTGTTTCCACAATGTGGCTGTGCTGCTATTTCAGTGTCTGTGCTACAGGACAGTTCTTGGCTGAGATTAGATAAGGTGCTTTTTGTGAAAATAATTTAGTGTGTGTTTTGCCACAGTGTGTTTGTAGCTTTAAGCTTCCCATTCCTTTTGGTAGTAAGCAGATTAGGCAGATTTTACCTGTTTGTGTATCCAATAATGGTGGACCATTCTTTCACACCTTTTTGTGATGTTTGCTGTGGTTCCTTTGGCATTCTCTCTGGGAAAGATATTAACTGCCCAAGTGCATACAGTTTTTACTGCAAAGCATAACCAGGGTCTTCCTGTAGCTGATCAATTGTTTTGTGAAAAAGTTCTGACCTTAATTTCAGATATAAGAGCCTGAATTAGAACTACTGGGAAGATGAAAAAGTGTAAGAAAAAGCCTTTGTCCTTGCTCAGGAAGTTAGTTCTTCCTTTGCTCTTTTTTGGCTTAAGGAAATTACCTGGTGATTATTAGTTTTCTTTTGGTTTGGATCTAGTGCTTTTTTGTGTGATAAAGAATAGTGTGTATCTGAATCTGATCTTGAGAGAATCGATTCCTGATTTGTTACTGGATGTTGACATGCAGTTATAGCTTGTAAGGGCATTTTGGCAGAGCTTATGTAACTTCTGACTTTGAGAGAACTTTCCTCCTAGTAATTTGGCCTCTGTTTTAGATAATCCCTAAAATATCCCAGAATTCCTTTTACAAATACTTTTTAAGAAGGTGGTTCTTTTTTAGTGTTTGAGTTGTTAGGACACCAACTTGGAATGAACTTCTGTGGCAATTAGACTGTCGTGATCTGTGGCAAACACATTCTGTCTCAGTTATATTTTATGTCATTCAAAAGTTTATCAATGTCCTGTTTCAAAGACCATCTGTCACTACTGTCTCTGCCAAAACTTTGTTCTTCTGATGATGATAATTTTTCTTCAAAAATCTAGCCTAAAACTTAATCAGTTATGCATTTATTCTTCTACCAGCTTTGCCCTTTATTGTTGTTCTCTGTCCCCACTATTACATTCAGTATCTCAGATTTGGGTTTACAGACTAAGACAAGCTTTCTTCTTTTATGACCAACATAGTAGCCCTTTCTAAATATATATATTTTTTAACTTGTTTGTTTTTCATTACATTTCAATATGAATATAAATAGTCTGGATGGGGTTTTACCAGTGCCTTGCATGACTGTATTAGAGTTTCCCTGTTTCTCTCATTTGAAACACTCTGGCAATAGTAAGTTATTCTGCTTTTTAGCCTTTGGCCAATAATATTTGAAAATATATTTCTGTAGATTACTGGTCCTTTTTTTCTCCATGTATTATACTCCTAAGCATTTCATACTTTCAGGTGCATTATGTGTAAGTTAAGCTCCTCAGTTCTACATTTGCTTGTTGAAATTTTCTTTCAAACCCGTATTTTATTCTTTTTCTCCTGTTACTGCAATGGCTGAGGTTAGGTGCTTTACCTGCCATCACTCTTTCTTTTTTTCTACATTCTGCAGAGTCAATCTCAGCCATCACAGGTTTGGAAGTAGTAAGCTAACAGCTGCTAGAGATCCAGCATGGAGAGGACATGTGTCTTGTCTGGACATGTCTCTTGTTTTACAGGCATGACAGTAGAATTTGTAAATAGCAAGCATTATTTATTATTACTTTGCTAGAAAAGCAGAGATATTTTTTTGTAAAAAAAAAAAAAAAAGTTGTGCTAGCTTTCTATTAATTTCACCTTCTGGACTATTAAAGACTCTTTCCTTTTTTGACAGAGAAACTCATTGGCGTGCACTGTACTAACGGAATTAATAGAACTGGCTATCTTATATGTAGGTAAGGCTGTATGAAAGCAGAAATTATTCTTCACAAAAAGTAGCATCCTTTAATACTCTCTATTCCCTTTGGGACAATAACATAGTCATATTTTTCTTATCTTATAGATATCTTATAGATGTTGAAGGCTGGGATCCAGAGGCAGCAATTCAGGGTAGGTATATATTTTGAACTAAGGCATATGTCAGGTTGTACTTCACAATTACTAAAAACTCACAAATACAACAATTCTATTTTAGTATCTTTTCAGCAATTGCATGTGCTGACTTATATAGAAGATTTTATAGTCAACTGTTGATTCTATTCCAGGCAGGACTTGAGCAATAGCAGATTGACAGCATAGGAGGAGTATGTTTTAGCTGCTTAAATTTTTTATTTTTACTTGAAAGAGTTTTCACTCATAGTTTGCTGCCACTGCTAGTTTCAGGAGTCTTTTTAAAAAATGCTGCAATGATGGCAGCTTGCTGAAATATTTAATGCCAAGTTAGAATTGTTTCAAATTCAGCATCTCATGTGGAACAGAAACTTGCCTTTCACATTTTTGTGGCTCAGTTTGACCACGTTTCATGAGACTGTATTTTTTTCTTTTCTCTAGCTTTTGGTGATGCCAGAGGTCACCGTATGGATGGCCTTGTGTATCTCACAGATCTCAGGACGCAGCCGATGCGAAGGTGAGCAAAAGCTTTTAGTTGTGTGCTTAAGATCTTCCAGTATGTCTCCTGGCATTTTTAAAAGTTCATTTCCATCCTAAGCCAAAATTACTTTCCTCTTAAACCTCTAATATGAAAGTACACATAGATGTAAAACATCTGTGTAGTAGTTTGTGTATTGTCAGATGAATAACATGAAGTGCAGTGTACTTTGTTCATCTTTCCAGTGTATATGGTTTGAAAGATTGTTTTTCATCTGACAGCTACTACTGAACATTGTTGTGCTTTTATCATACTGTGACAAGTGTACTGAGTCTGTATTCTCTCAGAAGCTGAAAGGAGCCACTGCAAAGGTGTCTTTGTAAGCGCTGTGATCTGTCTGCTGTTGTTGGCACCGTAGAACAAGATATTACAAAAAAAAAAATAGTAGAACGGTTTTAAGAATAAAAAAATATAGGAAAGTGGAACATTGTTCTTGTCCCCTCTGTTCACAGTAGTTGTATCTCTGATGTTTAAGAACGTTATGTTTATCATCATCTCCTAAGAGCAGCCAACTTTTAATGTCTTCCTAAGGTATTTGTGCCAATGATGCCTTGTAGCAGTAAATGAATTTTAAAATTAATACCTGAGTGATTTGTTTTCCAATTAATTGAAGGTCCTTTGTTTTGCTCTTATTGTTGTTTCATAGTCTGTGCAAGATGAAGTTGGAGTCATGTCAGATTTTTTAAATAAATTTACAGGATTAATATTTTCTGAGTTGTCTGTAAATTTTACTTAACATAAAATTTCTGTCATTCAGAACTGAAGGATTTTATGGGAGTGGGTTTTTTCTCTGTCAGTAGTATGCTTTAAAAAAGGAAGCTTATGTGAGATTTTTTTTTTCCCCCTTAGTAACCTTGGAATGGATGTATGGGATGCAGATGAAGATATTATCCCACCACCACATGCAATGGAAGGATCTGTAGAGCGGTTCCCAAATGAAGATTTTCAGGGGTAATAGGCTGAAAAATGGAATTCAAAACAAAACACAAAACCAACCAACCAAAAGCAAACAAAAAAAAAACCCGACAAAAAACCACAAAAGAATTGTTTCTTATTGAAAATACCATAGATACTCAAAAGAGATTTTATTAATATAGCCTACCCATGTAAAATGTATTAACAGAATTTGACAAAACAGCAACAAGATATGGGTAAGAAAGGGAATGTATGCTGTTAGAAGTCTGTAAGTAATTAGTTCACTTAGGAAAATGCAGTTTTACTCAGCCTGTTGTTCTTCATTATTCTACAATAATCTGCAGTTATTTTTAATTAATTTTGAATCGCTGGTTTTGCCCGTTTAACAAGTACTGCAGAGTTACAATTGAATGTTTGTCACAGCTTCTGCTTTAACACTGAAGGTTTTATAATCTTACATACAGTTTGGATTATTAATAATTTTGATACCTTAATATTTGATTAAGGTCTTTCATAGAAATTCTTGGTTAAAAATTAATTGTTTTCATTAATGACTTGTAGCACTTTTAAGTATGATATTCAATACTTCTTAACAGGTCTGGGAAAAGATTAAGAATTTATGATGACCACTCTCACAATGATTTGCAAGGACAGATGCAGTTGCGAGATTTTGACTTCGTTAATAAGGGGCCTGGACAAAGACGAAGACAATTTCATGACCATCAAACTCAGGATGAATTAAGAGCATCAGTGCAGATGCGAAATTGGGACTACAACAGGGGACCAGAACAAAGAGCCTTTACTGATCACCAGTTTTATGATGATTATCAAGAAGACACGCAGCTGAAGGACCTGGACTTCAGTAGCAAGGGACATGGACAGAGTTTGAGACCTTTTCATGGACACCAGTTTCATGATGATTTGCAAGCAGACAGGCAGTCTTTTGACTTCAACAGAGGACGGGAGCAGAGGCAGAGATCCTTTCCTGACCATCCATCTCCTAATGATTTCCAGGAAGACAGGCAGTCAAAGGATTTTGATTTTGGTGGCAGGGGCCGTGGGCAGAGGCGAAAACTGTTCCGTGACCACCAATCTCATGATGAATTTCAGACTCAAATGCAGTTAAAAGAATTGGATTCTGCCAGTAGAGGTCCTGGCCAAAGACTAAGATCCTTCCATGACTACGAGTCACATGATGGCTTGCAGTCACAGATGCAATTGGGAGATTTTGAATTTGTTAAGAGGGGTCGTGGGCAGAGGTTGAGACCTTTCAATGATCACCAGCCCCATAATGACTTAAAAACAGAGATGCAGCTGAAAGATTATGATAATAAAGGTCCTGGACAAAGGTGCAGACCTTTTCATGACCCTCAGCCTTATGATGGCTTACAGGAACAGACTCAATCAAAAGATTTTGATTATGGTAACAAAGTGCACGGACAAAGGCCAAGACCTTTTCATGATCATCCAGGTCACAATGACTTGCCACGTGAATGGTGTTCAGACAGGTAAAGCATCCTTGAGCTGTAAGAACAGAAATAGAGAATAAAAGTGTAAATCTCAGCAGTTTTAACTTAAATGTTTTTTAAATAATTTTTAAAAAAAATCAATCATCCTTTTTCTATATAAATGATCAGTTCATTAACTTCTCTTGTTTTGACTTACTTGACTTAGGGTTTGATATAAGCTGGAGTGTTGCAGCTCCAAAAGCCAGTGTTTCCTTAATTAGAAGGTTGTGCATCTTTAAAATTTGTGTTTCCTTTGCCTTTTAGTCAGCTTGAAACAAAACTCTTGTCCCACTTTGTTTTGTACAGAAACTTATGCTTAAAAAGAAGTCCTCTGGACAAAAGAGGATATGAAATTTTATTTATGCCTTCAGCCAAACACAGATAAACAGGAGTGCTACAAGGAAGTTTGATTTGCCTTTGTTTATTCCATGAGTTAATAATTTGTTGGAAATCTGCTTCAGAACTTGCATTATATTCTCACAGATACATACATCACTTACTAATAAACCTAGAAGCATATGATTTTGAGGTATTAAATGAATACAATTATTACAATTTTTATTAAAATTTTAAGTAATCTTTATTAAAAGAAGAAATATTTTATTTTATTTTATTTTATTTGATGTGTATTTTTTCCCAAATCTTACAACTGTTGGCAGTCTTCTTAACATGCAGTTCTTTTGGTTATTTGCAGAAGTCAGTCCTTTCCTTCCCATGAAAATGTACCAGAACCTCATTTCTCCTCATCTCCTTCACTTCACAGAGATTACGGGTCTGATAATGATGACTTTAACAGAAATTACAGGTAAGTGTCAGATATCATACATTGTTTTCTGACTTACCTTTGTAGTATTACTCCCCCTGTTTCCAGCTCAGAAATACAAATTAACTGCACAGTGCAAAAATCTGTGTTAATATTTTTGCTTAAATGCAGTTTAACCCTTTGGATCTGAGCACTGAGCAAATTAATGTGACTAATTTGTCCATTGATACTGAGTTTGGAGTGTTATTATTGTGTGAATCCCTGACATAATCATTGACATGGCAAGCACAGTTCAAGCTAATGAACTACATCATATGAAAATCGTGTGTCAGTGAGCAAAAAAGCAAAGGACAGATGCTGTATTTAACTCAAGTGCTGTGTACAATGAGCTGAGGAGTTTTACTGTGCAGGATGGGCAGACACTGAACTGGGTTGCCCAGAACCATTGTCCCACATCCTTTTAGAATGGACATAGCCCCTGTACAAACTCATCTAATGAGACTTAGTTTGAGTGACCCTGGCTACTTCTAGAGATCCTTTGCAGTCTGAGTGAATCTATGGTTCAGTAAGGGAGAAGATTTTAAAATTTTAAAGATTGTTTTGAATTGGCTTTGTGCACCACTTACTTTACCAAGCAAGGAATGTATTTGAGAGTAAAGAGAATTGAAATATAAAAATAAATATATATATATGTATATATACACACAGTATCTGCATTTTTAGACTATTCCATATGTATTTTATAGGAGAGTGAGTCTTCTGTTGCAGAAAAATTAATAATTAAAATATTTTCCAAAATACATTATCACCTGTTGAGGATATGTACTAGAGAGCTATTGTTACATATTGTACACAAAAATGAAAACACAGACTTAGGAAAAAAAGTCCCCTAGGTAAAGATATCCTCAGTAAACCAGTAATTTTAATTGTGAACAGCATTTGAAACAAAACTTCATCTAGTAGAATTACTTACTGTAAAGAGCTGTAATTTTAATCACTAGAATTGGAAAGTTAATACAAACAAGTTTGCAATATCCTTAGAGAGGATTTTAATTTCAGGGGTTAAAAATGAGAATGAGGGTTTGAATTGTTCTTTCGGTGTTAGACACAGTTAATTTCTAGTGGTGGCCATCAGCAATAAATCAACTGTTTTATTTCTATGAATTTCACTGTTCATATTTGTTCTTGCAGTAATCGACCACATTGTCCTGAAGACAATAGGAGAGTGCATCCCTCAGAGGAATTTAATAGAGGAAAAAACAGATTTGCACCATACCCTTCACGAACAATGCACCCATCTTCATCCATACACCAAGAAGATAGTTCAGTAGACTATGAAAGAAAGCATTTTCAGGGTGAAACTACCAGAAGCATGGAACAAAATAAAAGATTACCAGTTGTAACAGTTGATTACAATTATGGTCTACCACTAGACTATGGACCTGAAGAGGATGAGAGATCCCATTATGATTTACCACCAAGAGACCACTACAACTGGAACTGAATAAAAAGGACAATGTTTGCTCAGCTTAGAATTGCTTTTACCCATTTTATTTTGTATGTGGACCAATTTTTTTTAAAGCAAATTTAGTTAAATGAAAATTTCAGTAGTAAAGAACAGGTCTCTATTGTAAGATTAGCTTCTACTGATATTTGGTTCTTTAAATTTCTTAGGCCGTATTTGTTAAGTGTCATTGGAGACAATGTCTCTGTACACATGGAGTTAAAGCAGTTCTTCCTTTTAGTAAAATTGCAACCCTGAAAGAAACAACCCCTTAAAACAAACAACTTTCTGAGTGATTGTGTTTGTTTTTTGTGTTACAGTTCTTTAAAATATATGTGATTTCCAGATGCATAATAAAACACTGCACTATCAGGTAGACTAGCATTGAAAGTATAGGGAAAATACTTAGAAATTAATGAAGCCAGGTTATGAACAGTTTTGAAAACAGAACTCTGAATTACTGCTAAAAGTCATTGCAGCACCACAGTTCACTTCCATATTATCTGTATCATCCACTGAACTGACCTAGTTGCATTCTTTTTCATAGCAGAATTTTTCCCAGATTGCTAAGAACATGTAAACAAGTGGAATTTGAATATTCTAAATGTCAAACTTGCTTTTCAGTAATTGGAATATTTCATCCTGATTGTGTATTTTTTCCTGATCCCTTAGGTTATCTGTGTTTCAGAATAGCCCACTGCAGGTAAATTTCTCCAGTTTCTCAGCAACAAATCCTAAGGAAGGTAGGTCATGTATGTCACCTTGACTGTCTCGACTGGCCAAGGGCACTGGTGCCCATGTACTTACACCTCCTTGTCTGTCAGTCACATCTGCCCTACTCCTCAGTTCTGTTGTTTACTATTTTCTTCTTACAGCATAGCAATGGAATCAGAACAGCAAACTTATTTCTTCAGGTGAGCTCCTTTTAAGGGTCATGTATTGAACAGTCTCATGAACTGTCTATGGCTCTCACAAAGGTAGTGCAACAAACAGTAACTAAATTTATGCCAGCAGCTGCCCAGTAGCACCTAGAGCTCCTGCTATGGATAAGGAAATCATTCCCTAGGATGAAAAACAGTATTGCTATTACACTTAGATAAATTGAAATACCTACATTTTTCATTACTATTGCATTTTAATGAAGTAATACTTGAAAAGGCATCACAATAAATAAGGACAAAGGTAGAGCATTATATTAAAATAAACAATTCAATGCAGGCTACTTAAATCATACAGCTAAGACACTGCCTTAAAAGCAAAGCTTTAAAGCATCAAGCAAGAGAGCAAGAGGGTCTAGGTATACACTAGAAAACTGGGAAAAAAAAGTGTTTGTACCAAAACCCAGAAAAGTTTTTTTTTTGGCTTTTAATGGCAGCATAAACCCAGATTTCTGAATTTGTGGTTCTGAACTAAATAAGAACTAGATTGGAGTATCTTGTAACTCCTGTTGTTTGGTAACACATGCAAACAGTTCCCCTAGTCAAAGGCCTCCATGGGTATAAATTCATACTGCAAATGCTTCATTGCCTGTGCAACTGGTAGAACAACTTTGGCTTTGTTCATTGTACAAAGTAAATAGTTTTCTCATTTTCACAGCAGCTTTGTATTTCCCATTAAATTGTATTTGCCATCAAATCTGATGGTGAGCTTCATTCATGTGGTCTCAGGAATGAAGCCCTGTCTATATAAACCAGTTGTGGAACTGAACACTAAAAGTTATGAAAAGGCATTTGTTCCTTCACTTGCCTTTCCTTTTTTTTTTTTAACTTGAGCTGTAAGATGAGAATCTTTATCTACACTTCTTTATTTGGAAGCAAGAAAGATCTGCAACATGGGCTACTATAGATCCTTTAAAAAAATCAACAAAAAACACCTTTCCTGGCATTTTCCAGCAGGGACTCAAAAATTACAGATTGATATTATAAGCACTTGTTTGAGGTTTTTTCCTACTATGTATGCAGTATTCATAAAGTGAATAAAGAGCAGAAAACATTTGCCCTTTGTATTTCTGTTTGGGGTTTGTTATTTAGGATTCCAGTGACCCTAGAGTCAATCCTTTGCTACTTCAGACTGGAGACTTGAAAAGCTGCTGCACTGGAAGGCTCAGTGAAGAAGAAATATGGCATAAGAAGTTAAGATCAGCAGCAGCTCTTACCAGCCCTTGTCAGTTCCTGCAGCACCCTTTGAGGTTTCAGGTGCAAACAACAAGGTGGTGCAATTCTGTTATCTCACAAAATAAATGTCACTTTCCTGCCTATGTTGAATGTCTCTCTTCAGGGAATATTGTTCGACATGATGTTTCCACAAGTGGTTTGAGAAGACTATAGGGAAATAGACATAGTTTTGTTTGTGTATTTATTTATTTATTATTTAGGATAAGGCTCTCCACCCTATTGTTCCTAATGGAATTATGCAGAACTAAGCCCACATAATGTATTAGAAACTCCAGCTGACATTTATCTCAAATTCCACAGATTGGTTCATCACTGTGTATTCACATCTGTACTATTTAATTGCTAATTAAATTCACATGGTAGAGAATGAAATTAAACGTTTCTTGTTTTTTAAGGGAATATTATATTACAGCAGCAGTCATAACTAAAACACAATACTTTTATTTATTTCACAGTTGTACAAAAAGGCCATAAAATTTTGCTGGTCTCTTTCATGTATGTTCTCAGCAAACATAGAACTAGCTGTTGTTGTTGTATTACAGAGCATAAAAAGCCAGACAGTGTTGGTTTCCCACTGCCCTGAGTGTGAAATTTTGAAGAAAAACACAAGAATACAGAAAATTCAGACTGAACACGAAATTATTTAATGAAGTTGTAACAGTTCTAATATATATAAATGTTGAACTCCACTCTCAGAAAACTTTTCTGTTGCTGTCCTGATGTCATGTTTTCATAGGATTTTTATCAAATGGTGAAGCCTTCATGCCAGCTTGCCCTGAGCTGTGATCATCCCGAGTTAGGAAATGTTCAGGTGATTCCTGGAAAACCCTGAAAATTCACATGAGCTCTGTGCAGAAGGCTGACTCCCAAGAATGGCTTGGGAAAAGGAGAGGTCAGCTCCAACAGGAAACCAGAACACAAGGATAAAACTAAATTTATATGTAGTAATCTACAGTGTACAGCATTCAGTTTTCTGTGTGAAGAACAAGGTTACCTATAAAAGGGCTAGAAAGGTTTGCATGTGATTGTTTTTTCTCTCAGCTGAGCAAAAGATAAATGACCTACAAGAAGCCACAGGTGTAATTTGGAGCCTTCCCTGTTTATTTGCTCTGAAGTAACTGCTAGCAAGCTGCAGGCTTTCTCTTTGTGTGTGCAAGAATGATCAGTGATGTTACCCATCAAATCTGGGGGGCACTGCTACAACCAGTGTGCTGGGAACAGCAGTTCAGTGACCTGAGCAGCATCTTCTCAAAGATAATTCTTTCTTAAAAGAAAGAATTCTTATGTGAAGCGTTCAGAAATGCAGGCACCCAAAGGTCATTTGTGGCCTAAGAACCTGCTCAGTGCTAAGAAGGAAGGTATCCCCCATCTGGGATTTAGCAAGGGGATATGAATCCTTGGCTGCTGTGAAGAGCAGTTTATTTAAAATGTGTGTGCAAACCAAAAGCAATAGCTTCCATGCTGTCACCAACCACTAGAGCTTGTTTCCTTTGCAGGCTGACTGTTACTTGCTCCAGTTGTCAGCAGACTGTGCCTTACTGGTCCCAGTGGACAGCAATTACCAAACCAGCAGCTCCCTTTCTTCCTCTTGTGGAGAGCCAGAAAAACAGATGACAAAAATGAACCAGGTGAGGAAGCAACTTGATTCTTTGTCCTCCTGAGATGAGAAGACAATGCAGGGGTTGTGGGGAAATGACAGGAAAAGAATTGTTTTAAAAAAGAAAAATGAAGGAGGGAAAATGAAAATGCAAGTGTCAGGGGAAGAGAGTCGTGAGTGTGAGGGAAGAAATGTGCAAAAGGTGCATGTGTAAAAAGCTGGTGAAGGATTACTGGGTATAAAAAGAGGACACATGCTAGAGGAGGAGTTCCTGGCAATTTCTTATCTGGGTCTTCTGAGCTGTGCGTGTGGCTCTGTGTGAGCTGATGTAAATAACAGTTATCAAAAAATACAGGAGCACTCAGACCTCTAATCCTAAAGTAAAGTCATGTGGGATCTTAAAACTAATTAAGGCTTCCCTCTAAGCTTTAAATCTAGTCTATATGTAGTATAATATCCTGATGATATTCCCTGTAGAATCCAATGAGAATTTCAGACAATCAAGTAAGTAACTACTCCATAAACCTATTCCACATTGAAAACAAGCTCAGTTTTTACTGGGTATCAGGAATCCATGAATAAAATTCAATTTGTCTATTACAGGTACATACCTGTCTTATCTCACTCTTTCAGGACAGCATAAAAACACACTATAATGTTGCTATTACTGTACCCATCACACAAAACTTACAGTTATAAATAAGTTAAAGTGTAACAAACAAATCTGAAGTAACTCTCTAAGAAGTACAAGCAGGTCAATACAATACATCCTGAAAGCAGGAGACATTTATTCCTTTATGAGGAACACTCAGGACTGAATGTTCCACAAAGGAAGATGAAAGAACCCTCAACATAGATAAGTCTGATAAAGTTGTTACAGATGAGGATGTTCCCCATGTAGTTCCTCAAAGGGCCTCTTCTAACATAAACAGAAAGAAGTCTTTACTTTCAGAGTTATGCTTCCAAACAAAAGTCCAGAAAACAAGATTAACTCTTTTAGGAGAAGAAAAGATATATCGTTTATATCTGTTTATCTCAGTCCATCTTTGAGATGCACAAAGTAAATTTAAAAGAAGTATAAATGGGTATATCCAAATGCTAGAACTGATTGATCCTTGTCTGCAGACTTCAGATGAAAAATAGGATAATCCCATCCTGGTATCAACATCATGTTGTAGATATTCAGTAGCAATTCTGGTATACAGCAAATGGTAAATTATGATATTCACACAACATGCTGGAAATCTTTCATAGGCCTAAAAATATTCTGAGAAACAATATTTGCAAATTAAAGTAAAAGAAAAACAGTTATTGCTTTCTATCACTTAAATACAGGAGTTAAAATATATAGAGAGCAAAGGGTATGTGCACCAGACTTGTTTTTAAATCTAATTTAAACTCATTAACTGCTGCAGAACTTGTGATGATGGCCACAGATTAGCTTTCTTTTTTATCTTTGAAAAGCAACAGCTTTTGGAAAGAGCTGGACTAGATGTGAAACCTCTGGCCTTGTTTATTCAGCATTATAGTGTGCTTCTGAATCCTTATGTCCCTGATGACAGAAGTGCTTTTCTATTTATGCTCTTTGTATTCAGTTTGTGCACACTGGAATTATATGCACTTTTTTTTTAACTGCACAGACTAATGTCCCTCTTGCATTAGGTCATGAAAAAATAAAGAACAATCAGACTACTGCAATTAAATAAAGAAAAAAGCCCTTAAAAGCACACAACTTTAGATAATAGAAAAACTTAGTAAAAGGACTCTAGTTGTTTCTGTCATGTTATTTTCATGTTGCATTTTTCCACGGGGCTATGAAGAAAGACCTGCAGACTTATAGGAAGAGTTTGACCTCATTATTTCCCTTTCTCTTTGTGTCTGACTGGCTCCTTTGTGTCTGTTACCTTGATCCAAACAAGCCCAATTACATACTTGACATGAGCTTTTCTCCCCTTCAGTTTTCTTTCTGGATATGAAACACTAAATTCATTTTTATATAGGTGTATATATGCATGTATATCTATGTATAAATGTAGGTGTATATATATGATAAACATTAAATATATATATATATATATATTTCTACGTATAAATGGAGATCTCTGCTGTCATAAATGTCAGTGAGAGAGCAGGTATAAAGATGCAATTGTCCATGGAAGTTATTACTGTTAATCCCTTAATAATGAAGTATAAAGTTTATTTACTGAATGTAAATTTACTTTAGTTACTTTCTTGACATAGGAAGTGGTGTAGTTCCATGCACAGAGGGGTCAAACAGGGAGGCTTTAAATGTAAACAGAACAGCTTGTTTGAAAAAAAGACCAATGGTATGCAATGCATAGATAACACCATTTCCTAAAAATACCACAGGAACAATAAACTACCCAAACTATAAAATATTTATTTAACTTAGGATAGCACAGATAGCTGCTAGACAAAAACTAAGAAACTTACAGTTTTTGTACATAAAAGGTTTCCAAAGGGTATCAGTAATTCATGTCTCCATGTGTTATAAGATAGGGTGGAAAGTAGAGCTTAGTTAGAAAATAGGAAGTTATGATCATGGAACTAAATGCTGAAGAAATTAGAGTCCATGGCTACCAAGATGGTTGTACAACCTTGTACAACAAGGTTGATCAGTTGTACAGAATATCTGTTTAAAGTGGAGATGAGCAAGAAGCAACACTTCTGAACAAGTCTGTGCCATCTCATGAGATAAAATCCCTGACAGCAGAAATTCACAAGAAGAGAAACACAAGTTTTCCCTCTCTATTTGTCATACCACGAGCCTCTCATTCAGGAAAATTGTCTCAAATTGACAATGTTAAATATGATCAGAGGTAATGAAATCTAATGAGATAATTACACAGCTCTGGTGACATTGGGAATCTTTTAGATGTTGGTGATTTTCACTACCTAGTGGTTATTGCAATCCTGTTTGATGTTGAGAAACTGAAGCCCATCAAACATTTTTCAGAAGTGTTGCTGCTGCTTGTTGTGGGTGGCAATGCTTTGCCCTGGTTTGTCTCAGAATCCAGCACTTCCTTGGTATCTGAGGTGTTTCTAAACTATGAGAGCTGTCAGTCAGCATCCAGCCTCCAGCCACCAGCATTTACTGTGAAGAATGTAAAAGGAAGGCCATGAACAAGTTGACTTTCTATTAAGAGGCTTTTGAAACGGTTGTGCAGCTACTAAAAAAAACTCCTTGGAATAAAAATAAGACAATTAAAAGCCATGAGAGTTGGCATGGAAACTAGTGAAAAAATAAATACACCTTTAAATAAAAATCAAGCAGAATAGCAAGAGACACTGTTAGCTAGCAAGAAACAAGAGATTACTAAAAAAAAAAATCCTTCAGCCATCAGAACTCTGATTTTAATAACACTACTAAAGAGGGGCCTAACCTACAGCGATAAAATGTCAAATAAGAACAAGGAAGATTAAAGAATACTTGAAGAAGAAGCAGGTAAATATATAAAAACAAATAAGAATTTTAAAGTTTAAATGTTAGAAATAGTCTACAAGATATCTAGTTAGTTTGCAGACCTCAGAAAAGAAAGTATTATTAAGAAATACATGTTGCAAAGAACCTGCACAGTTTACCTGCATCGGTTCATTCTGCATAAATGTATCTCCCAGAAATGTTTCACCAGACTATCAAAATAATCATAGTGATTAAAACACCAGCAGAGAAGCTGTCTAAGCCAACTCCCAAGCAGGGGCAAGCTCCTATGACTAGCTTGTCTTCAGACAAGATTTCCAAGGGAATTTGGAAATTAAATAACATAGACACAAAGATACATGCAAGCTATTATGAAAATAATATTTTTTTATCAGACCAGAAGGCAGCAAATGTTATACCTACCACTACAGAGAGGCTGGTGTGATCTTGAGCAATACAAATCTACAAACCTTCAGGACACAAAAAACTAATTGGAAGTTAGTCTTCTGAAATTCCAGAACATGTAAAAGATTATGTTTTGTCAGGTCTAGTCAGGGGGATTCCACCTGAAAAACGATGCCTCTGTCATCTGCTATTTGCACAGCTGGAGCTCTTGGAGGCTGCACCACTTTCTGCCTGGGCTCTGGCAGCCACCAGGGCACATACCTGAGCTGCTGTCACTGAAATCTGCAGCCCAAGCAATAAGAGTCTGCAGGTGAACACAGCTGGCAGGAGGAAGAAAGCAAAATAAAAACAGTTGAGATGAATGCAGGAAGTACTGATTAAAACATACCAAAGGAGTGAAATTACTGGGTTTTATTTAATTTAGGAGCAGGTTGGAGAGAGTATACTGGCACACAACAGATTTTCAGGGGGGATTCTTTTAACAGAAGAAGAAGGAAGGAAATGTGTAGGTACTCCTTGAAAAATAGGTCCAAAAAAGAATTGCAAACAAATTGGTGTGACTTACAGAGGCGCTGAACAGATGCATGGACAAAGAAGAATTACTTTTCATAGGATGTAGGGAAAGGATTGAGCAGAAGATACAAGTGAATACTTAAGTAATGATGTGCTTTACATAAACGTCAAAATACAAATATATATGAGGTGATACTTGAATGAATTGTGTTTGAGTCCAGAATGCCTGCTGTAACAGATCATTCTTTCTGTCTTTTGCAGATTGTTTTGCTGGAAGTGCAGTTTATCATAATTTCAACAAGTACTCAGTGCATATGACCCACCATCAATATTTTCTCTGCATTTATTTTTATCAGGTAGGAGCTGTTCAAAGCAAATTTAATTGGTTGTTTGATGTGCCCTCTGCCTTGACTGTTATTAAAACTGTTTTTAAAGTACCTTAGAGGAAATAGGATGTTAGAATTGGAAACATCACCTGAGGATCATTTCAATAACGTTCACAGCAGGACAGGATGGCTGCTGATTCCTGGCTAAACAAACAAGGAAATACTATCAGGGATGTTTGCTATACATCCATGTCAACAGCATCAAACATACAAGGAAAATATCTCCACCCTCAGTCTGTTCCTTGCTGCTCCCTACCCCAATTCCCTGCTTCCCTCCCATACACAGCTAAATCAAACATGTACACACAGAGAACAGGGCAGGCGTGTGCCTGGGATCATGGGCAGGGACCCAGGCAGGTGCACCTGCAACACGAGGGTATGGCACGGCAGAAAGGAAGGTGTGGGGAGTTTTTGGAGTACTCTGCTGAGAGGCCCTTGGCTTCTAGCTAAATCCACTGTACTTTTTGTGTGTATTCAGCTACAGAAGGTATATTGAGCTATTTAAAGGTAGTTACCCCATCAGAACCATGACAGGCAAAAGGCATTACCTGGGTTGTTGAGTGTTAGCACTGTGACAAAACCATGTCCACCACTGCAACATAGGTCTGTGCTTTGCTCTGGCCACACTCTGTGCTCAAAGGCCTCAGGCTGACCCTCAGTGCCAGCGTTTGAGGCCACTTCAATGCCAGTTTCCAGTTGCCACCGTGCTCCCACCGAAGGACAGAAGAGACAGGCAGGAAAGCAGCACCCCAGGCGTGCTTTAGGAAAGGCTGAAGTCTAGGCTGGACCTGCATGGATAAGGACAGATTGAAGCATTATCCCAGTGTCTTGATAGAACTGTCAAAAGACAGTGATAATGCAGACAGCATTAGAATGTTTGTTTGGAATATGTGCTCATGGGGATGGAATGAGTGAGCCCATATATGAAGAGTTAACTCCCTAGGGAGAGGGAGACCAACCAGAAAGGCTGGGCTGAGCAGAAATCCCTGGACAAGGGTTGGGTGTGAAACACTCCCAGTACAATGGGCTTCAGAGGAAAACTTTATCATACAGCGCTATGCAAATTCATGTGTTTATCCAAGTTTATGCCATCACAGAAAAAAAAAATCTATTATTTTGTTTCCAACTTATCACATGAAAGGTTACCTGCGTCAGCTAACTTTATGTACCAGTCTGGGACCATTAATTTAAATGATTAGTCGAAGGCTAATTTCTTAATCTGGATCTGATGGAAGCTGATAGCAAGCACTTGGGAGCCTGGTGTGCCTGCCCGGAACAAGGGGCACTGCCGGGCGGGATTCCAGGATCTTTCAGCATCGCCCGGAGCCCGCCAGGCTGGGAGGGAGGACGGGCCGCTGTCCCAGCCGGGGCGACGGCAGAGAGCGGGAAAGAACGTGGCCCCTCACAGAGCCGCCGCGACCGGACCAGACCAGCCGTCCCGTCGCTGCCTGGCGAGTTTGGCGTCGCTTTATAAACCCTTGGGTGTTACCACCCTCGTGTGCCATGACCCCTCTGCGGTACCAGCCCGCAGTGTAACAGCCGCCCCTCACTGAGGGGGCTCCAGAGCAGCCTCCGCCCGCCCGCAAGGACGGCGGGGCCGCGCCACCGAGCCCGGCCACTGCGCAGGGCATGCCGGGAGTTGTAGTCCCACGGGCAGCGACTTCGCGCCGCAGCACCGGGCATGGCCGATGGACGGCGGACCTCGGCAAGAAAGGGGTGCGGCGTTGGATCGGCGAATACCGACCGCCCTGTTCCGCCGTGTTGGCGGGGCAGAAGGGCCAGCACCCAGTGGACATGGAAGGAAAAGCGTTTACTCCGCATCCTTCTCTCCTTTTCTCCCCTCGGTGTTCGGGACTGAGGCGCTCTCCTTTGAGTTCGCCCCCCTCCATCGCCCTGCAGATGGAACGCCCCAGCAGAGGCCGGCGCCCCCCTAGGCGGCCCGGCGGGCTCCATGGCCGATCCTGCTCAGTGCGGGCGCTGCGCGCTCCCGCCCTCCTTGCTCTTAGAAGCGCTCCCGCCATTGGCTGCGGCTGGGCGCTCTTGCCAATCAGGAAGCGGCTCTCATGGAGGAAGGGAATAAATACAAGATGGCTGCTCATATAAAACCAGGCATTGGGCTTCGCCCCGGTGATGGGGGAATCGAGGCTTTAACCTGCGCTCCGAGGGTCCTTCGCCGCTGCCGCCCACGCCGCCGCCGCCCCGCCCGGGGGAGCGACACTCCGACCGCCGCCGGCCTCTGCCGCGCTCAGCCGCTGCCCGCGGATCGCCGGCGGGGCCGAGGCCGGGTGCGGCGCCCCAGGCCCGAGCGAGGCCCAGCGCCCTCCGCCCGGGTAGCACCCCGGCCCCCCCGTCCCGCCGCCCGCCGTCAGCCCGGCCCGGCTCCGGGCAGCCATGGCCGTCTCCAGGTCGGTGGGAGCTGGGAAGAATGGGGGAAGTAGGGCCAACAGCGGCGACCCGGCGCTCCCGGCTCTCCGTGTGGCCTCGTGCGGGGAGGGGGGGGGAGGAGGGGTGCCCGCGTTCCGTCTCCTTTGGCTTCGGGAGCCTGCGGAGACCTCGCCAAGGCCGCCCCGCCGGGGTCTGGGGGTGGCTGCGTTCTCTGGAGCCTGGGTTTGTATCCTGGCCTGCGGTGACTCCCGTGCCCCCTCCCTCCCTCGGCCCGCAGGGGCTCTGCCTGGGGCGTCTCGGGCTTCCTCCTGAATTCGACACCTTCGTTTTGTTGGCCAGCCTTCCCTAGGGTGGTTAAACTGCTAGGGAGTAGGAAATTAGGATATTGAGTCCCAAAAACTGGCAAGGAACTGTTTTTGCGTTTCAGAGCCCTTAGTTGTAAAGTAACCAAAATAAAACAGGCTTTCATGGAGAAAAGTGATCCGTGTATTCTGGCTCTGCCTCAAAATGTTGGGCAGTATCTGCTTGCACACATGTGCTATGGGGTGTGCCAGCGTTTAAAGCATTCACAGATACAGAGGTGTGTCTTAACAGCACTGTTTTATAAAAAATGCTGAGCGCAAATTCCTGGGGTTGTTTTTCCTTTTTTTTTTTTTCTTTTTTTGTGTGTGTGTGTGTGAAACGGGTGGGTTAAGCTTCCGAACAGGATAATTGAAAGGAAACGATAAATCCAAATTAAGCTTGTGATAGATTAGCTCCAAGTCACGTGTTATAGTATCTGTACTTCTAAAGTGCTATCACAAAAGTAAATTCTGTTTCAGTAGCTCTGTGTGAATAAGTTTGTAATTCTATGTAGCAAAGTAAAGGTGTGCACGTTTATAATGGATATCCATTCTTCATCAAAAATAATGGCAGCAATGCACCTTTTAGGGACTTCTAGTAGCAGGTGTTTTATTTTAAGCTTTGTAGTTTCTACAAAATATCCCTTTGTTTTATTCTACTCTTATTTTTTTATCAACTTGTTATATGTTTGTTGTGGCTTTTTCTCATCCCCCAAATCTGTCCATAAGAATGTGGAAGTAGTGAGGATTGCTGTAACAAGATTACCGTATACGTTAAACTAAGTCATCATGTAAAGTAGAGGAGTTGTCTAATTACATTAGGTCTGGTCAGTCTGCTTAACCAACTTTGCTAATGTACATGTGATATGGGGGCTAACAGGAATGTCAAGATAGAGCTTTTCAGCTGTGTGCTGAGGCTGTGGCTGCTCTAAAGGCTGCTTTCCATTTCAGTTACCAAGGCTGCTTTAGAGGAAAGCAGCAGTACAGAGATTTACTTAACACCTTTTGGGAACTGAAAGTAAAACTAGATGTGGCTCATTCTAAGATTCAGTGTGAAGCATTGAAAGTTGATGTGTTAATAGTATTGTTAGATATTGCTTCAGATGATAGTTGTAGTATCCAAATGTTGCACAACTGAACACAAGGTACTGAACGCCAGTAGAGGTGCTGCAATACTGGTGAGTTGGTTCAGAGTCGTTTCAGCTTCACGTGTAACTTAGGTAAAAGAATACATGTTTCACGGTGCTGTAACATCTTGGCTATTCCTGGTGAGCACCAATGTTTATATAATTGTAAGAAGTGATAATGTGTAAATTTTGTCTGTCTCTGTCCCTTTGAAGCTAGACAGCAGCTCCTGGTAAGTTGAGTTTCCTTTCTGCTGCTGGACCATAGGAACACTGATACAGTGTCAGCACTGCTTTTGTAGATAAAGATGCCTTTCTTCACCTTTTACTTCAGAACATTGAACTTCAAAGGTCCTTTCCTTTCAGACATATTACAAATAATTGTTTGTGCACTTGTGTATATAACCACATAACTATTTTTTGTTCAGTTTAGTTGGTCCATCGTCTGTTCTAATTCCACTTTTCCTCTACGTAGTTACAGTTATTTTTTTATGGACTACTGTAATATTTCATTGTTGAATGCCTCTTTACCTATACCAGTTTGGAGAGTGAGGAAGAGGCTGACTCAATTTAATCTTTCTGAAAAGCCCACAGTCCTTGTGGACTGCATACCAAGCATTACTATTAACAATCATTTCATTAGGGGTAGTTCTATATTGGAACAGCTATTTTAAAAATATCTTTTTTTAGAAGTGAGGGTTGGAGAAGTTTTACATTCTTAAAACAATAAATTATCAGGTGGTTGTTTTCCCAGAAAGTTTAGTTTTTGCTTTTTTGTCAATTGAAAACCTTTCTTAAAACCCTAATCTGTTGAGGGAGATCCAAAAAAAACATAGGGAATGCTTTGAAATACCTCCATATTAGATTGAGGAATTGCAGCTTTGCTATTAGTAGGGTCATCTTAAAAGTAATTGTAACCTATTGACAAAAAAGTCTGATATTTAATTCTGCATTTTATGTTACATGGATTGAAGACCTCCTGCTATAAAGCATTTGTGTTGATGCTCTAGAAAACAGACAGTGTAACAGTAGATACCTCATCCCAAAAGATGTTGCAGAATATTTGCACTGTACGTGTTCATCTCTTTGGTAGTTTATGCTGGAGAGATTAATGAACACCATCCTCCAGAAGCAGGGATAGGTGGGTGGGAAGGTTGGTATTCCTTCTGTGAATGTGTCATTTGGTAGGCCTTAGCTTCTGTCACCAATCTCTGTCACTGAACATTATCTTACAGATGAAGTGGTATAATGTTTGCATAGCTAATAAAGAAAATCCCAATGTTTTTGATAGTGGAACTGAGAAGGAAAAAAGGAAGTGAAAAGTTTTGGTTCAGCTTCATTCCTACAAAGTGCATGATCCAAGTGAACGATTGCAGTGGCTCACCAGTGATCTTTTGAGATACTTCAGAAGGAAAAGTTATACTTCTAAGAGGATGACAACTCATAGATTACTCAGGATGGTAGAGTTTCAGTAGCTAATAAAATGATGATAGTCCTTCAGTATCTAATAAAACTTTTTTCCAGTTTCTTAATGTGTTCAAAGGCACCTCATGTTATTCTAGCACCAAGGTGTTAATGCCTTTCTCCTGTTTTGAGTGCCTTTGCAGTATGAGGGAGAACCAATGTACTTTTAAAATGTAACAAAATTAGGAGGCTGGTAAGGTACATTAAGAGTAAACAATTTTATTTTAGTTGGTGTATCCTTTAAGTTCTCCCTGAAATACCTTGAAGGCAACCTCTTCAGGGTATATTCAAGACAGTTCCTTACAGAAATATTGAGAGCATTATTTGCTGCTCTTGCAACCCATTCTTGATTTGATCTGTGTAAGATTAATACTGTTTTCTAGAGTTTTCAGTGGTTTTGTTTACTTGAATTTGTGTATGACTTGTAATATGTAGATTAGGAACCTAGTTTTTATTTTAAAATAAATAATGTCAAAAGACTGTGAGAGTAAAGCTTTTGTACAGTAAGCAGGCCTCATGTATTTTGAAGTGTAGAGCTGTGACTTCCCAAGAACAAGTGGCTGCACTGGCTGGCATCATTACTGTTGGAACTTTTCAAATTGAATACTGCATCCAGAATCTCTTATGTGCACTGTATATGTTTTAGAATTTTTTTTTGAGGTTATCACAGACTTTCTCTATGAAGAATTCAGCTTTTAGCTTCTGTGGAAGCTATTACTTCATGGCTGCTCTTGCATAAAAAGCAGGAGTTAACCTGAGCAAGTATGTGTTCACTGCTGCTTAAAGGCCTATGCCCAAAGCATTAGAGTAGATGTTCTATAACCAATGTGCTTATGGGAGTTCAGACTCCAAAGGGGGGAAGAATAATGTAACTCTTCCCTTGTTGGTGGAGATGAACTTGAGGACCAGAACAGTGGACTGCCTCGTGTGCTGCTCTTTGTGGGAGGGCTTATACAGTCATGGGAAGGGGGGAAGCAGAGCTGGCATGTGCACTGCTGCCCAAATGAGACAGAGCTCTCAGTTTCTCACACACACTTTTCTAATGGACTGAAGTGAAAACTGAAAGT